GATTCCAGCCAAGGGCATGCACCTTGGTTGTGGGCACATCCCCAGTTTGGGGTGTGCAGGAAGCAGCTGATCGATGTTTCTTTCTCATCAATGTTTCTAACTCTCTATCCCTCTCCCTTCCTCTCTGTAAAAAGTCAATAAAATATATTTAAAAAAAGAAGAAAGTTAACCCAAATGTAAACAAATGGCTTTTTCCATTTCTTGTGCAAGCAAGTAATTCTATCCTCCACTTAAACTCTTATGGATAAACTCTTATACTGATACTAGAGGTCTGGTGCACAAAAATTTGTGCACTCAGGGGTTCCCTCAGCCCAGCCTGTGCCCTCTCACAATCTGGGACCCCTCGGGGGATGTCCACTTGCTGGCTTAGGCCCGCTCCCCAGGCTGGCAGTCAGACATCCCTCTGGCAGCCCTCTGGGATGTCCACTTGCCAGCAGGAGTGGGCCTAACCTGCAGTCAGACATCTTTAGTGCTGCTGAGACGGTGGGAGAGGCTCCCACCACCACCGCTGTGCTGGCAGCCATCAGCCTGGCTTGTGGCTGAGCAGAGCTCCCCCTGTGGGAGCGCACTGACCACCAGCGGGGATCTCCTGCATTGAGCATCTGCCCCCTGGTGGTCAGTGTGTTCCATAGTGACCAGTCATTCCCATTGGTGCTGCTGTTAGGGTCAATTTTATTATATAGGATAGAGGCCTGGTGCATGGGTAGGGGCCGGCTGATTTGCCTGGTGTGTCCTGGATCAGGGTGGGGTCCCACTGGGGTGCGTGGCCAGCCTGGGTGAGGATCTGAGGGCTGTTTTCAGTCTGGCCACACCCCCTTCAGGGTGGGGGTCCCCACTGGGGTGCCTGGCCAGCCTAGGTGAGTGGCTGATGGCTGTTTGCGGGCTGGTTAAGCCCCCCAGTGGGGACCCTCATCCCATGGGAGTGTGGCTAGCCTGTGTGAGGGGCTGAGGGCTGTTTTCAGGCTGGCCACTCCTTCTTCAGGGTGGGGGTCCCTACTGGGGTGGCTGGACAGCCCACGGCCTAGAAGCAGGTATCTGGAATTTATTTAAATTCTATAATTGAAACTTTGTAGCCTTGAGTGGAGACCAGGGCTGACCAGGGCAGGCAGGAAGCTTGGCTTCCTCCATTGCTGGGGGCAACCCAAGCCTTCGGCTCATTCCAGCTCCGTTGCCCCCGCCATCTTTGTGATGGAGTGAGGGAGTGAGGGAATGAGGGTTAATTTGCATATTACTCTTTTATTGGATAGGATTCTGGTAATGATATATCTGCATCTTTAATTACTGCAATCATATAGCATTTCTTAAAGGTACCATAAAAAGTAATAGACATAAAGGAAAATAGAAACTTAGAAAAATATTTTAAAAGACTGAGGTCATATACTGAACACATAAGACCTCTCTGATTTGTTAGAAGAGACAAATTTAGAATAACATTTCCACACTGATAACATTCAGCACAGTATAATTTAATCAGAATTTTCCCTGATCATTTATTTTTACTAATCTCTAAGTCCCAGAAAATATGTAATTTGGTTGATACTTTAGTTGTGTAATTTTTAATATTAAATATTCTACTGGTTTCTGAATATTTTTTAATAGTTTCAGATTTAAGGACTGAAAATATAATTTGAACTGGCCCTAAGAATAACCAGGAAACAATTTCCAACATAGGAGAAAACCAATGGATAGAATACAGTCCCATTCTTTCCTCCTTAACTTTAAGATTCACTTGTTATTTAAAGAACACTACAAGATAAAATGTTATCATTATCTGTCATCAACTGTTCATAGATTGCTTGCTACTAAACTTGAAATTCATCGGAGTTTATGTGAGAAATATAAGATACCGCTGCTGACTCTAAAGAGTTTATAGTTAGCTTGAGGGAAACAAAAGCAAAATTAAGTAACAATTAAACTCTGCTTCATTAGATAGTTATTGCAAGTACATTCATCTTCAAAGATCATAGGTAGAAGCAGTATATTTCAACTGCCTTTGTCAGAATAAACCTTCGCAGAAAGGCCAGGACTTCGCACTAATCTGGAAGAGAGGGATTTAAAAAGTAGGTAACAGTTGCAGGCTGGTTAACCTGAAAGGCTCTTGGACTTTTGACATCAGTTTGGCCTCAAAGGCCAGGAGTAGAGAGACTGAGGATTTCAACAGCTTAAAATATGATAGTTGGGCAATACAAGTAAAGTGGTTAACCATATGTGTAGAGCCGTGGGATGTTTGCCAGTGACTGTGAAGAAAGTGGTTTGTAATCTGGAAACCATTAAATATTTATTGTGGCAGATTCTCTTGTGGCTTGACTTCCAATCCTGGATTTCTCTACTTCTTAACTCTTTCTCCGGCCTTCCTTTCCCTAGATACAAAATGAGGAAGGAAGAGTTTTTCTTATCTTCCGAAAAGAATCAATATGAGACTTAGAAGCAAAAGAGCATGAAATGTTTTGGAAGCTGCAAACCATTAAGAATGTTTTAATTCATATTACATTACTCTGTAGTGTTATGACTAAAATTTCATTGCTTTTAACAAACAGTAATTCATTCCAGCTTCCCCAGATATCAGTGTCATTTTATAGGTTGTTTTATTATAGCTTGGTACAAAAATATCACTGTGCCACGCTTTATTACCTGGACACAGTGCAGATAAGGCGACTGGCTTCCCTTTAAATAGCTCTGCCTCCTAATGGTACTTGGTGCTGTCATTCTCAACTGCAGGGACTCTTAGATTATTCACAATCCTATCTGTCTTTGCACAAGACCCACATCAGAGATGCCTAGACAAGAGCCAGACATGGGCCATGGGCCAGAGTGATTTCAATGAGAACCCAGGATAAGTTACAGAGTGCTTCCTGATTAGGTTGGGCAATCCCACATCCCACTTCTAAGTGGGGATTTTCTATTACCTGCTTGCCAGCTATAAAAAAAAAGAAATCATTTTCTTTATATTCTGCAAACAATGCATGTTAAGTTTGTGCAGAGTGGCTATGAGGTGAAGCATGGTGTCAAGAGGAACCGGAAATAACATCTCATGACCCTTCTGTGATCTTACCATGTAGTGCCAAAACTAATTCATATGTTCACTTATATTTAAAATAGGTTATTTGGAACTCACCTAAACACACGCTCACACACATAAAAATTCAATAATCTATGACACCAAACTTTTTTTTTTTGCCTCATAAAGTCTTATTATAGTGTGGTTTATTTCCTATGGTTATGTTGAATTTAATCATCCATGATTTTTAGTCATGTTTTTGAAGTCTTGTCTTATCCACATTAGTGAGGTTTAACTGTTGTCTGTAGATGTATCCTAATCTGTGAAAAGTCAATATAATAAATCTGTAGGCTGTTTTTCCAGATTACCACTCCCCAGAAGCCTGAAGGATTGCATTAGCTGAGTCAGGTGTGATGCTGATTGTATCAGGAAGCTGTGCAGGAGAGAGACCTTCCGGTTTAGCTTCCCACAAAGTGAGACCAAACCTCTCAGCCTTCCTTGACTAGAGAATTTCTTAAGTTTCCTTCCAGACTTAAAGTTCTAAAGATCCATGACACCTCCTCCTTGACCAGCAATGGAGGTGATTTCCTGCCAAGGAAGATGAGTAGAAGAGTTTAACACAATTCCCCAGGGTCACCAGGGACAAGGAAAAGAATTTTGTTCCATGACTGGTTTCCGATTGCCATTGTATTCGCTGGTTGCCTTTGCTGAACTACTGTGAGGACAAGAGTCTTGGGGACAATCCAAGAGAGCATATCCAGTAAGACTTTCACGAAAGAAAGCCAGCGTGCTAGTCTAATATCATAGCTATGCAGGCCATGGACTTAGAACTGTAAAAGACTTGGCCTTTAAACCTTCAGTTTTCTATCTACTTCCACAGATAACAGAGAGAGTAAGGCCAGGCAGACAAGTCTGGATTAAGTTACCCCTCAAATTTAGGGATCCACTCCAGACGAGAGCAGGCCTGCTGAAACGGCCTGCATTAAGTCAGATGGTTCCAGAAGTTTGTGTGTCTGAGTCACCCTTCCCTTACATGAACTTGTTTGAGTGAAGCCAGAGTGGGTGCTGTCTTGCTGCCAAATTGATTCAAATCTCAAGTCTTAGACCAAACTTCATGATGAGCCCCTCAAACCCATTAGCGTCCCACAGCTTCTCCAAACTGGGTCAATGTACACACCTGGCCGAGGAGCCAGAGCCGTAGCAGGCTGGGTCTCCCTGGCCATGCTGTCACCTGCATACACCTCACCCTACTCCGGACGGAAGAGCATACCTCTTCCAATTCAACAGTGTATCCAGCTGCAGAAAGCAAGGTATCATCTGGCAGGGCAATATGCTTGCTAAAAACTACAAGTATAAGATTTCCAGTAAGCAGACTTGATTTGCCAGCCTATTCCTGCCACTGAGTAAACGTGGGAGTACAGACACTTTCACCACATTATCTTGCTTTATAAAGCTGGCTGAAGTCCAAAGAAAATAAACTAATTTGAGAAACCTAGAATGATCCGCCTGCAAGGAGGAGAAGTAAGGCTTTCAGTGTTGCGCAGTTCTGATCGCGGCTTACATTTCTTGATAATACATTAGCGTTAAGGATGATGATAATTTCTTCCTAAAGTCAACCCTCCTGCTACTTTGGTTCCAGTCCTCCTCTAGAGATGGGGGTGAGGTGCACCTCTTAGGGGACTCTGCTCCCCAGAATCTGGTCTTCGCCAGCCCTGCCTAGCCCCAAAGATGAAATCTCCGCTGGGTTGTCCCTCTCCTGCAGCTCCATCCACGAGGGGTCAAGTTACCACATGCTCCACGCATGGGGTGCACGCAACTCCTCCCAGTTACCCTCCTGCCCAAATCTCACTGCCCATTTCCTCCCCCAAACCTCCTAACCCCCACCCCCTCAGCCCAGGGAATTTCCCCAAGCATCCCAAAGCTTGAGTTTCCTGCCTGGAGGAAGGGGCGAATGCCAATATAAGGGATGCGCTGGGCTTGGGGACGCCACAGTGCGCTGGAGTTTCAAATCCCAGCATCTCCTCCTTCCAGAACTCGCGCCTCTCGCCGCTGCCTCCACGCCGCTATGAGTCTCCTGCCACGCCGCGCCGCCAGCCGCCCCGGCCCGTGGGGATCGTTGTGCGCGCTGCTCGCGCTGCTGCAGCTGCTGACGCTGCCAGGGCCCCTGGCCAGCGGTGAGTGCTCGCAGCCAGGGACGCGCCGGGCAGAGCAAGGCGCACAGCTCCTGTAGCTGCGGCTGCAGCAGGGGGGGCGCAGGGAAGTGTCCCGGGCCAAGCTGGCGGGAGTTGTTTTTCCTGCAGCCTTTCTCATAACGGTGTTTCTCTTTCAGCCCCAGCTGGTCCCTCCGGGATCATAGTGAGCGAGCTGCGCTGTGTGTGTTTAACCCCCACGCACAGGATTCGTCCCCAAATGATCCATCACCTGGAGATGGTCCCCGCAGGCCCAGGGTGCCCCAATGTGGAAATTATGTAAGTCCGACTGCACTGCGGTGTCCCCGGGGTCCACTGTGACCTTGGCCTGGGTCTTCAGCTCCTGTGGCTCATGGACGCATCCTCAACCCCCCCCCTCCTTTTTTTTTCCCTGCAGAGCCACCATGAAGAAGGGGAACAAAATCTGTCTGGACCCAGAAGCCCACGTGGTCAAGAAAATCATCCAGAAGTTGTTGAACAGGTACCCATGGCTTTGGTCTTCGTGGTTTATCACCAGTCTTCCATGCAATCGCCCAGGTGGTCGCCCAGAACGCTTGACTATGATGTATATATTTTGTTAGCTTAGTCCTTGAGTCCCACCTTTTGCTCTTTATTGATCTTAAGCTCTGTGTTTTGAAAACTAGTTGGAGTACACAGGAGTGTGGAAATTTGGTTAAATTGATACTTTTTTTTTCTCAACAGTGGAAAGCAGAAAAATTAAGAGGAAGGATCGTAAAATTAAGAGGAAGGATCGTGCTTTGGAAAAACTGCCTGGTTCTTCAGCGGAGCAGTTTTCTGGGGCTCTCTGGACCCACTGAAGCCACAAAGCAAGGGCTAATTTTCTCCAGGGAGTCAGGTTTCCTCATGGATCTCCCACTTTGAGAGATGGATGGGATGAGGGACCTATGTTTATCCTTACAGCTTTCTGCTCATCTAATGAAGTATTTTACATAGTATTTACTGCTATTTATTTGTTGCTATTTTATTTGCTGTGTCATTGAAATATTTGTCAGTTGACTAGTGAATCCAGAATTACTGGTTGTTACTCTTTAAGGTGACTGGTTTATTTCTAGAATATGTTCCTTAGAACATTATTGAACAGGCTGTAGATTTAATAGGTGAATGATCTTTCTTTAGAATGCTATATATGACGATAATCTGTAATCCCCAGTCTTCTCTTGAAATTGTAACTATTTAGCATCATTTTTTGAAATGAGATAATTTCCATACTCTTTATCCTGGGATCCTATTTCAATTATATTGCATTAGAAAGCTAGGCACATCATACAGCTATCAGTGTAGAATATATTTCCTTATTTAGAATTTCTAAATTTTTAAATTCTATAAGGAGTAATATATTATTTTCCTATAACTTTAGACATTTGATGTCTTCTTAGTATGGCATAATGTCATGACTTACTCATTAAGCTTTGACTTTTATATTGTATTTATTAACTATTTTATTATGAGTACTATAATTTTAATCACTAAATATTTGCTTTGGATGAAGAAACTAGGAAATAGGTAAATTTCTTATTGCTAGTTTCTTTATACATACATTGTTTTAGTATTTTTAAGAATAAGGCAAACTTAATAGTCTGTACTCTGAAATTTTTGAAAATATATCTGAGCTTTTGAATATAAACTCATCATTTAGTTTTCAAAAACTACTCAGCACTGCTAAGATTTGTAATGCTTATGTTGTATCTTTTAAGGGTTTGACAATTTTGTTATAAAGAATTATAGATGCATCACATTTACTATGTTAAAATTGTACTTTTTAACTGTGTGTCTCATTGGTTTATAGAACCTTTTTATTCTTTGAAAAAAAATAAAATATTTTAAAACTTTACTCATGTTGTTTCTTCTTTCTTATACTGTTAAAAAAATTGTGCTTTTCTGTAATTCTACCTTATTTTGAAAATTATGCTGCTCTCTGGCTATCAGAGAAAACCCTTATTTCCCAATGCCATTGCATTTGTTCAGCCTTTCCAGTTACCATAGCCTGTTGGTTCTTTAGAAAACACAAGTTTCCCTACCTTAAATCCTAAACTGGCTTCCTATTTCCTAGGCATGAAATAAAAGTTTAGAAGGATGGCAAATTATGTTCAGTCTCATCCAACTCCTGGTTACTCCTTCAGCTTCACTTTTCCTTCCCATCTTTGCAGTCAAGTGTTTAGTTGTTGCCTGGATCCGTGCTTTGGCATTTGCTAGGGCTCCAACTAGAAGTAGCTTTCATCTTTTGCCTCTAGGAGGAAGCTTACCCATCCTTCTGCACTCAGCTCAAGCAATACTTCCACAAAGTTTTCCTTGACCAGAATTCATGGTTTCTATTTTGATGTTTCCATAGCATCTTCTAGATATTTGAATTTATTTGAATAGTGAATATTGCATTGTTTTCCTTTGCTTAGAAGTTTCCTTACCCTTCTCTACTAAGGGCTCTCCCGGAACATCAACCATATTTCATTTCCCTCTGCATCTCCCATACCTGACACAGATTGGTTTAATGAATTAATAAATTATCCAGAACCTCGGGTTGCCACTGTCCTAAAATCAATAGCCTGGATCATGCTAAATATTAAATAAATTTAATTCTTTTACCCTCTTTTCTCCTAGTCTATAAGCAATCCACAAGACCTTGACACATGCAGCCCCTCAACATATAATACCTACCTCTCCCTTTCACCTGGCTAAGTCCGTCCTTTCCTTTGAGGGCAGTTCACCTGTCATTTCGGGCCTCGCTGACCCTTTCCCTCACCACATTAATGCCCTTTTTATATTCTCTCATAAAACTTTGTTCTTTTCCTTTGTAACATTCTGTCACCAACATGACTATAGAGTTTACGGAAACTATATATATATGTGGTTATTCATTTAGTGTCTATTCCAACTTCACTATATGCTCCATCAGGTCACAGACATTGTTTATCATGTTTATCTCAGTTCCTAGGGCAGTGACCAGCTCATAGGCGCTCAAACAGATGTACTAATAAGTCCCACTGTCTTTCTAGTATTAAAATAGCAATTTTATGTAAATAGCTCATTCTCAGGAAAATCACAAAAACAACAAAAAAAGGACTAATCCAATTAGTATGGCGATATCCACCCCTTCTCCCCCAATTAAATGAATATAGTATACTAGAGGCCTGGTGCACAAAATTCATGCACTGGGGTCGGGGGGTCCTTCAGCCTGGCTGGTGCCCTCTCACAGTCTGGGAGTCCCACCATCAATTGCCCCAAAGAGGTAGGCCCTGCCCACCCAGCTGGGGCTCTGCAATGGTTCGCCTCCACAGCACCCATCCACCAGAGCACTGCCATGGGCCTCCCTCTTTGGAGCAATTGTGGAGCCCCCTGATTGATTGCCCTGCTGGTAGGTGGCCTGGGCCTCCCTCTGTTGGGTGATCATGGGGCGATGGTCGGGCTCTGATCAATTGAATTGCACCCACCTTGGCTGGCCTGGCGCCAGTGGTTGTCATAGCATGGTCATCCGGATGGTTGTTCCTCTATTTGGCCGTTCAGCTGATTTGCATATTATGCTTTTATTATTATAGATATGCTTATATTGGCATGTATTTGTATATATTAGTATATGCTAATATGTCACTAGCATATTAAACTATATGTAACCTGTTATTCTACATCTTTTTATCTCCTTATACATAAAATATCAATTAAATTAATATATTTCTTTTATTATTTACTAGGGGCCCCGTGCACAAAATTCGTGCACTGGGTGGGGGTAAGGGGGAGTGTCCCTTAGCCCAGCCTGCCCCCTCTCACATACTGGGAGCCCTCAGGTGTTGACCCCCATCAATCTCCAATCGCAGGATCGGCTCCTTGCCCAGGCCTGACCCCTCTGACGTCAGGCAGGGGATCCTCCTTTCCCCCCATCACTGGTTCTGCCCCCAGCCCAGGGCTGACCCCCAGACCCCTCCATTTGCTGGCTCTGCCCCTTGCCCAGGCCTGATGCCTCGGCCAGAGGCGG